GCCCGTCCCTCGGCGAGCTCACGGCTCTGAGGGTAAAACAAACCTGTCCTGCCGCGCCCTGCCCGGTCTCGGCTGCCCCGGCCGGGTTTGTCCTTCAGCGGGAGTCCTCCTGCGGCCGCTTTTCCTTATTTCTGCTGGCAGAAGGGTGCTCATGGCCCTCAGCCGATGCCGGCCACAGGGCCGCGGGTGAGGAATCATGAAATCCTAGGCCGCTTTGGGTTGGAAGGGACCTTTACAGGTCATCTCATCCAACCTCCCCCGCGATGAGCAGGGACACCTTCAACTAGATCAGGTTGCTCAGAACCCTGTCCAACCTGCCCTTGAATGTGCCCAGGGATGGGACATCTACCACCTTGCTGGGCAACCTGTTACAGTGTTTGAACCCTCATCATAAAAAAATAATTCTGAGGGGTTGTTGGAAGTCTCTACGGCCCAGGCTGGCTTCCCTGGCCGTGGGTAGCGAGGAGGTCGCTCCCCATGTTTGCTGTGTACCCGGTGTTCTCTGCACAGGTGGGAGTTGTGCTCTGATTTCAGTGTTACACAAAAATAGAGGACATACGGGGTTCAGGTGCATAAAAGCAAAGCTAAACTCCAGGATCTGAATTCTACATTGGCCAAGGATATTTCTAGTTGAAGATAAATGGATCTTTTTCCTGACTAAGTGTAGCTTCTGATTTTAACATCTTCTGAATTACCAAACAAATTCCATCTTTCCTTAAGCTATGTATAGCAATGTATAACCCTCAACCCTTTGTGTTTAGCACATTTAAAACTGACCAATACATATAATGTCATATATGTATGTCACTCATATTGCAGCAAAAATCTCACACAAGCACAGATGACTGAAAAGGAGCCATATGATTGCAGTGAAACAGCGAACATACCTGTTTTCATCCTCTGTGTGTGCATGCCTACTTGTTTCTGTAGTGCATTAACTGGGGACTTCAGCAGAATAAACCATGTAATTTATTTAAATATTTGTTTCAGTATATTATCACAAACAACCATGCTGTAGAATTTGAAAAGAGGACCGACAAACTTTTGTGTTGTAGTTCAGAAGCCATTTTCCCCCCATTTATTAACTAAGATATTTTCTTGACATTGAAAACATGTATTTTAAAAGCATTTTAAATTTGGTAAACATGTGGACAGAAAACTTATTGCCTGATTTTCTAAACTACATTTTCAGCTCTGAGATGCTGAGGACTGCGTCGATACTTCATGGAAGTCACTGGAAAGATGAGTCCATTGACAGACTACTCAGAAACGCTCTTTCCACAATGAGAACTAGCATTTCAGCTCTTCAGTTGCTTGTTCTACTATTCTCCTTTGCTGTTGATTCAAATGTTGTCATCCTAAGCTTGTTTTTCTGTAACCACTACAACTACAGTAGAATGAGTTCAAAAATTTTAGTCCAACCAACAAATGTATCAAAAGAAAAAAGCAGAATATTCTTTTCTGCATTATTTATGGCTGACTCTCCTTGTATGCTACTTTGTGACTCTTGTAAGCATAAAAGTATTCACATTAAAATAGGTGTATTTAGTCTTGAGACGAAACCTCTAATGTGATAGTGCATCACATGAGTAGTCACAATCCTATAATTCTTTATTTATGTGAGTTATAACCTTAATAAGAAGGCTGTAAATCTGAATGTTTGTGATTGTTTTCCTGTGGGATTTTTTTGTATTATAACTGCAGCATAAAGTCTTGAACAGGAGACTCAGACCTTCAGGAGGTGATGCTTTAGAAGATCTGTGTTGATTTTGTAACAGAGAGTTTTTCTTAAACAGGTAGTATGGTTAATGATCCTTGAAGTCTGTTACCTGTTTCTTGTGCAGCTGTTTGGCCTGCAATCGCTCACTAGCTGATTTTTCCATGTGAAAGCATCACAGGTTCTGCCTTCCAGCCTGTGCTATGTTGGGTGTACCAGCTCCAACCATGGTCCTTCATGCCTAACCCACCTGGGTTCCCATGGGTGCCATTCAGTGTCATTTCTCACCTACATGGTTCATTTCTTCTCCAGTTTCTCCTCTCACTATATGCGAACCTACCTAGCTTTAACCTTTGTGTACAGGCATAAATGAGGAAACTCTTGAGTCAAGGTCATTTACCAGCCTGTTGGACACCACTAACTTGATATCCAATATATTTTAAAATTAAAATCTAGGCAGTTTGGGGATTTAACTCAATCCTGTGATTTCCTTGCACCTTTTTGAGGTTTTGCAGTTTGAATATCCTCATTTGAAATTGGGACTAAACCAGGTACAGCTTCCCTTCCATTTCTGTGTAACTGATTGTGCTGGTTTTGGTTGGGATAGAGTTAATTTTTTCCATAGTAGCTGGCATGGGGCAGTGTTTTGGATCTGTGCTGGAAACAGCATTGATAACACAGGGATGTTTTAGCTGTTGCTGAGCAGTGCTTGCACAGCATCGAGGCCTTTTCTGCTCCTCACCCCACCCCACCAGTGAGCAGGCTGGGGGTGCAGTAGGAGTTGGGAGGGGACACAGCTGGGACAGCTGACCCCAACTGAACAAAGTGACCAAGTGACCATATGACGTCATGCTCAGCATGTAGAGCTGGGGGAAGAAGAATGAAGTGGGGGGTGCTCGGAGTTATGGTGTTTGTCTTCCCAAGTGACTGTTACGAATGATGGATCCCCGCTTTCCTGGAGATGGCTGATCAT